TATATATATATATATATATATATATATTTATATTTATATATAAATGGATAAATAGAGTAAAAAACGCATCATAATTCCAACAACTGAGATTTTTATTGAAACACATATAATTTAAACAGTCGATTCCTAAACCAATACAAATTAATATTGGTATTCCTAGTTATACAACTCATACAACTCGCATTTAATTTGCTGCTAAAAAATTTACAATAACATAAATAACCTAACTTGAAATGCACTACATATCATTCATTTTCAGCTAAATGTTCCAAACATTTTTTGGTATGTACTAAATATTATATTACATACTGTTAGTACATTATGCCATAGTTCTGACACATCATTTTTATAAACATCAACTACAATTTGTCCACACTCATATTACTTAAATAAATAAATTAGTATTTTTTAAAACAAACTATAGTTTAATTTTTTTAAAAAAAAAAAAAGTTATTATGTATGAATGAGTGAAAAAAAAATTTAATTAGAAAATTTGCTGACAAAATTAGAAAGAATATAAAATTGTCATTTTTTTTTCCAATTTTAAACCCAAAATAACACCTGAAAACATCGAATTTTAAATAAAAACGAATGAGGTATTAGTGCAAGTGAAAAATTCTTCTGATTTCAACTAGGTCATTTGATAACAAATTAAATTTTCAAAATCTTTCAACAATTATTGAAGTTGTAGGAGACTGAATTTGTTCTTTTACATTATTTGTAGCATCATTCTCACTGGTTTCACTTATTTGAGCAGGCTTTTCTCGCGATTGAGAATCAGACTGACTCAAAGATTTATTACTAATCATTTCAATATCAATTGGAATTGTATTGGCATCTTTTGGTTCGCAATCGAAATTCCTAGAATCATCTAATCCAGTACTGCCACATTCACTCTTTACTTTGGTTTTCCAATTTAAATATGTTATCATTGTTGTTGGACTTTCTGTTCCTAAAACTTATTAATTTGGAATTTCTGATAATAAATACTAGTAATAAATAACCTACATGCATTTAATTATTGTTTTAGGGCTATATTTTTTCATTTTAATTGCTATTTTCTTCACTGATTCCTACGCTAAATTCTTATCAATAAAAACAGGCTTAAATAACGTTTTTACTCAATTTTTAAAAATTTTCAGATGCATTCAATTTTTTTATCATATCATAAAGATTTATAAAAATCTAGCAAGTTTTGAAATTTGAGTTAATTCTCATTTTAATATTTTACTAGTCTAAACGATCAATCTGAAATAGATTAGTCCAGTATAATCACATAAATGCTATCAAAGAATATCAAGTAGATAAAAAACAATTTAAATAATTATCAAGTAAACACAAAGTCATTCATGTAGTACAATATCTGGAAAGCAGTGAGTTTCAAACCATTTAGTTTAGATCTGGTGCCATCGAGAAATACTTGTTCTTTATTTTCTTTAATTTTCGAATCAGAGTTTTCCGTGAACATTTTTGGGCATTCACATGAAAAATAACCCTTTTTCCACATATGAATAAGTTTCTGGCAGCTATTTACCATGTCTGGATTAGTAGGAGGACCTGACTCTAATTTCCAACACATTTTTACCCGTAAAAAACGTAACAACGTGATGCGCACTTTTTCATTCAAAATAACATGAATAATAAAGATAAATGCACCCTGAAAATATGATTCTTTTCAATAAATTTGAAAATATCCACAAACTCATGACTTTTTTAAATAAGTTTCTGTGATGCTTTTGAACCTGAAGTCAAATAATTCTAGATTATGAATTAAAGAAATATGAAAATAATTTAATATTAAAAGAAGTACATTATCGATATGCAATTTCTTGTGTGTGAATTAAAAATAAAATCATTTGTGATTATTAAAAAAATTGTCAAAAAAAGCAATATTAATTTAGAAAATTCTTTTTGTATTAATAGGATGGAAAAGAAAAAATTTTGTAAAAAAATTAAAATAATTACACAAAATCATTTCAGATTAAATCTAAATATTGAATTAAAATAGGATAGCAGCGAAACCTGTAAGCAATTGAGTACGGTGAAAATAAATGCAAAAAGCGTTTTTGTTGCTTCAATAATCATCAAATAACCAAACGTCCAGGTGATCCCAAGCAAACAAAGTAAGGTTACCGAACCTTTCAACCAACCCAACATTTGTTCTGTTCGACTTCGATCTCGACTACGAATCGAAAGTACGACTCTAAGTGCCACACCAAGAACCACTATGTTAGACTGCAATTTTATATTTCGGAAATTAATTACATATATTTTTTCAGCTGTCAATTTATTAAAATGGAGCAAATTTTGGCTTGATATATAATTTTTAGCATAATAATTCCTAGAATTCAATGTAAATAATGAATTAGTTATTAGCGAAAATTACCAAATTATCAACTTTCAGAAGTAAAATTTTTTCTCAATTTAATTTTTAAAATAGTGGTATTTATTTTTAAAGAGTATCAACATATACTATAATAACAGCTGCAACTGGTCCAGCAAAAGCCCATATTGTTAACGTTTTCACATCCAACCAACAACTAAAAATGTTTTTTCTAAAGTGAGAAATTTTTTGCGAAAAATTGAAACTTTTTTATTAACATTTTTTATCAGTACCATGGTTTTATACTTATTATTTTTGATGGAAAGGAAACTTAAATTGTGGAAAAAAAAAGTTTTTCACTGCTAGACAGATACAACTTTGTTGGCAGTTCTTACTAGGAATCGGTACCGTAGTTTGACCAAGCTGTTGCAGTGGTAATAGCAACGATCACTGCAGGAAAACCATATGCATAAATGTAGCAAAGAACAGGTTTTATTTTATTCTCAAAAACCTAAAATCATATTTTTGTATAGTGACTAGAATTTATCAACTCTTATTTTACTTCAAACATGATAAAAATATATAAAATATTATTAATAAAATAAATGATTGAAAAAATCTTTTAAGCATTTAATAAATTCCAAGTAATTACTTGAACAAGCATGAAATAAAGATGATATCCTTCTAGTAGCATCCAGCAAAATGCTGCCAAAAATAGATAATGAAGTGAAACAGCGATTCCACCACAGATAATTTTATTTTCCGTTTGATCAATACCAATCATAAATACTAACTCTGCGAGTAGTAAACAAAAGCACAAATTACAGTGAATCTTATGTCGAATGCTATGTAAGGATCTAAAATTATCAAATTATTCAAAAAAATAAATTTACTATTTCATTCCTTTTCAGTCAAAGCAGAAGTATATTCCAATATCAAGCTGATCTCTATGATAAATCCAAGTTATCTTTTTGAAAATTATTTAGTTGAGATCAAAAGTAACAATCTTACAGATAAGTAAAACAATTCTTTTTTTGTTTAAAAAAAAAGAACCGTTTTACTTACCTGAAAGATCTAGTCAAGTGTACTGCACCTAGCAATAATGATTTAAAAGTAGATATCAATTTGAGGTGAAAGTGAACTTTCACTTTTATTTTTCTGAAAATGAATAACGAAATCTTTTTTATATTCACCGAAATTATGTTTCAATTCGTTTCAAGAAGTAAATGACAGATTTTAAAGCCTTCAAAAATATCATCGATATGTTCAAAAAAAATACTAACTCGAAGCATGTGAAGGTGATTAAAGTAAGCAAGAGACATGCAACTGAAAATGAACAACCGATGATAGTTATTAGACTTAAAACTTCATTAGCAACTGATTGATCATCAGCATCATGCGATCCATCAATGTCCATCAAAATAGCAAAACTGAAGAAAATCAATCATGATACTGTAATGACTAAAACTGCCATAAATGATTAAGTAATAAATATTTCAAGCTTAGTAAGTTTAGCAATATGATTAGAATAGAAAATATGAAAGCAATTTTCGTAATTTAAAAATTAATTTCTTAGAAAGAAAATAGTATAAATCGAAAAATTTAACTTACCTAGTTAAATGATTGCAAGAACAATCAGTTGAGTTATTCAATTTACGTAGTGTTGTGCAGCCTTCTTGACTCCAAAAGCTGAAATTATATCTTTAATTTTTGATAAAAAATACATTATAGTGTTGTTAACTGTGAATCCCATGCTACTTACTTAATGCAGAAATATAATAATAGCGTAAAAGAATTATATTATAGTCGAGAGTTATCCTTAAATTTAGAAAAACAAATAATCAATAAATAGTAGTTTAATACGCACTTCTTTGTGATATCCCAAAATACACATCGAGGATTACTAACACCTTTGGTATTGAGATGATAAAACTTGAAAGTCACTGGATCAGTTTTTGGTAAAGTAATAAAATTCATTGGATTGTTCATGCTAGCACCTGACAATAAATATTTGTTTTGTATTTATTGGAAGAAATTTTTTTATTCCGTTACTGAATCAATTTGACTGATTTTGTTTTCAATATTGCAATTCCTAAAAATTTTTGCTCAAAAATGTCATTTAAAAAGCAAACAAATGACTTCAAAAGAATTGCATATATGCTATTTTTGAGAAAAACACATCGTAACGTTGCAAAACAATATTACGTGAGTAAAAATAATAAAATTCGAAACAGCAACTAGTTGAATATACATAAAAGTATAGCGAATATGTTAAACAAGCAAATTTGCGAGAATACAGCGAATAGTTAACAAGAAAAATAAAGCATATATGTGTCGGTAAGTTGAAAATTTTACCAATTACGAGGCTGTTGATAATTGTGGTTTCATTGGTGTTTAATAATGTTCCCACTGATTTAAATATGTAATAACCGATATGAAATGAATTTTGGTCTAGTGAAACAAGCCGTGATCGCTGTAAATTTATTCATATATTAATTAAGACTTTTTATTTAAAATTTAAAATCAAAAGTAATCATTAATTCTATGTTACTAACAGGACGTGCGAATATACCAAAATCGTTCAATGTTTTTGGATGAGGCGTTGGCTGCGCAGATTGTTCTAAAAATTGTAATTAGTAATTTGAATATATGTAAAATTTGAAAAATAGCTCCACAAAGGTTTTTATTATTTAATAAGCTAACCAATAAAATTATGCTTGATACTAAAATACATAAATATATATTATGATTACTGAGTAAGTATAAAACTATTTCAATGGTGCTCTTTGATCCATTAAAATTAATTTTATCATTCTTATGATGTGTAGGAAACATTTTTAACGTTTTGTTCAAGTATTAAAAAGATAATTATTGATCACTTAAAATTTCTAAAAATTTTACATTTTTGAATTTTTAGATTTTTATGCACTAATACAGTAGTATCATTGATGTAATGCTTATTGCTATAAACATACGCAAAATTTTCAACGATGGCATTGAAAGTATTGGTGAGTATAAAAATGAGCTGAAGGTAATATTTTCAGCGGATTCATTGTTGATTTCAGCTTCAATTTCGTTAGCACTTGTTAAAGTATCCATATTAATTGATGAAACAGAAGCCAAACTACGTGGTCTAGGAATCATGTCAAAATTACTGTGATCATTCATGATCACAGAATCAGATTGAACTGTAATAGGGATTGGTTTTTTCACGCGCACTTCGAAAGCTAAAAAGATTAAAATTTTAAAAAATTGAAGGATTTTATAAATTTTATTTTGCGGTTTATTTCTATCTTGCCTTCTAAAAATTGCAAAATTATTACAATTATTATGGCAGAAAGAGCGCAAATTAAAAGTCATTATCAAAATTTATGAGTTTAAATGATGAACAATTGTGAAAATTGATGGAAATAGAAGAGCAACAAGAAAAAAAAAATCATATATTACAAATTTAGTTTCTAATTTCTATTTGATATAATGCCACAATTAGTATTAATACTTGCATAGTGAATCAAATTTTTAATATTAGAAGCCAGATTTTTTTTTAAAAAAAAACTGATATAATCTTACCCCAATTACTGAAGTTAATTTTCATCTGCTTTTCAATAATAAACTGAGCCACCATTACAGCACTTTGTTGTAGTGCTAAGAGTAACTTTGATGCCTTCATAACTCGAATATCATCAGGTAAAGTCATCCAAACTTTTGCTGCACTGTTGCTTAATAATTCGTTGCCTGCTTCACCAAACACCTATTCACAATATTTGTCTAATAATTAATACAAAAAATGAATTTTACTTACAATATTGTACTGCAAAAATTATTTTTCAAATTTAATTGTAAAATTTTTCAGTGGCTTTTATGAAAACTGCTAAATAATATTATTACACGAAAATGAAACTTTTGCAAATTCCATGGCTTTTTCATTTTGTCTGTTTTGATCATCCAAGTCTGCATATTGCATTTCTGCTAATGATAATAACTGCTCAGCAATATCAATACTGCTAATAATATCACCGCTATAAATTCTAAAAAGATGCATATTTAGAAAGAAAATATTGGAAATTAGAAAATTAAAAATATGAGATATAATATAATATAATATAAAATTTATATAACAACGTTAAATACTATTCTGTTGTGCATATATATATGTCGAATTTTTTACTTGCCTCTTTACATCGATCATTAAGGATTAATTAAATTTACGCAAAAATTTATAATTCTATACTGCAACACTTTAAAAAAATTAATTAAAATGAAATTATGACGTAAAACTATCTGAATTTCACCACTTTTACCTACCATCTATCGATCATTTATAAGAAATAAGTCACTTACGCTTGCTGAGTTGTATTTTGTAAAAAATGGGCCCACTGTCCAGCGATATATTCCGTTGATTCTCCCTCCTCGATCAACTGATTAAGCACGTTGATCCATTTATGAATACATCCAGTAGTGTCTGGTTCTCCTTCCCATTCGTTACTTTCACAATTACATTTTTGAGTTAACGTACCTTCACAATACAATACATAAAATATCCATTAAATATTGACTTTGAAATTAATGAATATGTCAAAATAATTTGAATAATCATTTATAAATACATGCTAAACGAAAATATTTGAAATGATTTTAAATCATTCTTTTAAGGCATATTTTAACACAAGTTAGCATTTAGAATGAGTTTGTATGAAAACATGAAAGCAATGTCATAATACCAATTGTATTTATTGGATCCGGACACGGAATCTGAACTTTACTGCAAGTTGACGTACGTGGTATAATTATCCCATTCCACTGATATTCTTCGCAAAATGTATGCTCTTCATTGAAATTTTGTTCATCTACAGTAATGTTACTTCCACTGCTTAAAATGTAGAAAAATACATTCATTCTAAGCAATTTTCAGTGCGGTAAGCTATTATATTATCCAGATTTTAACGTTAAAATAGTTGTTTTCTAATAATAATCTAAAAATTTTTAAAGGTTTTAACATAAATATTCTTTTTATCAATAACTTATCATAAAAACAAACTAATTACTTATAAAAGCTTATGAGTACTAAAAAGACTGCTTATGTCAAGAATGAATTTCAAATAAAAAGCAAAAAAAGAATTTTGGAATAAAAATTAAGTTTTAATAAATAAAAAATTACCTAAAGTTTGTTTCACTGGATGTAGAAGTAACTGTGGAAATAGAAAAAGCAAGATGAATAAAGAAAATAATCATTAAATAATTTGATCAATAAAAATAGTAATATTCGGGAGTTCACGGATAGAATTAATCCGCGATTTACTTCAAACACTAGAAATACCAGATATATTTAATATATTTGTCATCCAAACTCATAATTATAGATGAAAAGTTTTCAAAAAAAGAAAGAGCAAATGCTACTAAAAAGTATCTATCTAATTTAAATATTAAAAATGACATATTTTTATAATTTTGCATTATTAATTTAGAATTTCCAAAATCTTTTTGTTATTATTAGCTGAGCTATTGATTAAAGATAAATAAATTAAGTCAAAAAAGTAAAATTTGTAGCAAAAGTTCACTTTTGAGGTCAATAAAAAATGTAATCACACCAATGGGGCAATTATTGAGCAGAATAAATAGTACGAACAAAGAGAGAAGTTTTCAGAGAAAAACAGGTTTTCATAGCTTTGATACCAAAAAGTGAATCCAAACCTTCCAACGGTAAAAACTTCGCAAAGTATGAAATTTTGAATGAATCAGTGATCTATTCTTTTAATTTATATTGATTTATTTTAAGTGCGTCTAAATTTTTATACAAAATAAATGAGAGACAATTCTTATACTTGAATTATTTCTTTGCTTCAATGTTAACAAAAAGCTTTATTGCAAATTAAGTATAATAATTTATTCGATTAAAAAATCATTAAATAAAACCTTTAATGTATTTTTAGAAATGAAAATGTAATTTAGTGCAAAAAAACAGAACTAGAAATTCAATAAATAAATAAATAATAAAATAAATAAAATGCATTTTGTAAATTATTTACTAAAAAAAAATGAACAAATAAATTGAAAAAATGTTTACATAATTGATCTGAACTGCATAATACTGAATTATAATACTTGATTATTTATAATCTGCTAAATAAAAGAGTAAAATTCAGAATTAATCCTTTAAAATGCATTTTATGTTATAAAGTAAAAAAAAACATAATTATGCTAGCATGGAATTTCTGCAAAGATGCAAAGTTTAGATGTTCTAATGTAAAATAATAAAATTCAAAACTAATTCTTCAAAAATTTGTGAAAAAAATGGTAGATATTGCAGTAAAACAAAACTGACATTACATCTAAACTTGAAGTGGAATGCAAAAAAATTTGTACAACAATACAATAATAATAAGTACAAAAGACGAGAACAAAATAAAATCACTTGTTTGTTTTAGTACTTATGATCAGTTTTATCGAATTTTAAAAATATATTCATGCAATAATTTTTTCAGTTTGTAGCGAAGTTTGATTATTACGCCTACTACTTTAACAGATGGTTAATTTGGATTTGTTTTTGCAAAGCTTTTTTTTTTTGGACTGAGAAGTGAACCAATCATGTAATTAGCGAAAATCAGAATCAGTATTATAGAATGATAAAGGATCAAAATACGCAAGGTTAGCATCTCAACAGTAGTCCGTAGATTCAGCTACGCTATGTTAAATAACGTTAAGCTGCCATCTTTCTACTGATCTGTAAACTGAACTCGTACTGCTGATAAGCTGAATTTCATGCTTGGCGAAAGGATTACCATGAGAAGATCTTCACGTTATCTAACTTTGGTTGCAATCACCTAGAGCTATTTATAGTGGCTAAATGCCATGCGATATATCCCTCTCAATTAATTAATATCTTTCATAATACTAGTTGTTCAATTAAGTTTGATAATTAAGATTATTAGTACGAAATTACTTATCACTGTGTAAAAAAATGGATATATCAGTACGTGTGGACTTGCTGACTAAAATAAGCAAGAAGAGTAAATTAGTGCATATTTGAAGTTAACAAAAAGTTTGCATTCATTTAAAAAAATGAATATATTAGGAAAACGAGTGAATTTATCATCAAGTGTGGGTTGTAATTACAATTTAGCTATCTGAATTTCTCGCTATTATGCAGCTGTTATGGCTAAAGATAGAATAATAATTAGACAGATAATTATATCAATTTTATTGTGTAAATTTGAGCAATTGTGTGTAACATGTTGACTGAGTTGAAAATATACTTATGTCGAACTTATCCACTTTAATACTTTCAATTTACTCATTACAGTGAAGTGATCTCTTAATAATTAATCAAGTAGTGCATTTTATGTAACTGATAAATTGCATTGCTTTTTGAAATGTCAAATTTGATAGATTCATTCAATAATAGCAAGTAATAGTATATAGACAAATGTGAAGATAAATTTGCAGCAGTACAAATAAAAACTCGTGTAAACTGCAATCAAGTAGATTTTTGAGGTACTTGCTTCATTTGATGTTTGAGAGTAGAGAAGAAAAAATTTTCATAATGAGACTCTTTTTGTATCACAGTTATTGAGTGAGTAGCATAGTGGCTTATTGAGTTATTTAGAGAAGCAAACATCGAAATTAGTTTAGTCTACGTGTTCTTCATTTGACCGGTCGGTCGGGTTAGAGGTGGGGTGGTATGGGGTGGTTGTATGTAAATGGGAGTGGGGTGGCTTTCCTTTTAAATTCGTGTATCGCTTTTAAGTAAACGCTAGTTTAAACGTGCTATAAATTTATTTACTTTATAGGTAAACGGTATGGGCGAGGTCATCCAATCCCGGCGCAATCAATGATCAGAGGGACAGTGGTTCTCAGATCATTGGTGGATAAAAAACGCGAGATTGGTTGACAGAGGAAGTCAATCAGCACTTTAAATTTTAGAAAAAGTGCTGTCAGCTGCAGTGGTAGGCAAGCCTGCAGCTATCATTCAATCATCTGTGTGGCCACTCGGAAGGATGTAAGTATTTAATGAAGATCATAGTTTGTTAATCAGTGTAAATTGTGACGTAAATAGTAGTGAGTTATTGTAGCTCAGTTATATATTGATATGTAGCAACAATTTTACTAAACCAAGCAATTTTTTGACAGAAAGATGATTCTTTCAGTTTGTCATGATTGAGAAAAGGCAGCCCTGCCCCATTCAAAACCAATTAAAAAATTGGTTTAATTTATCAATATTAATGGGGCGATGGGTTGATATCGAAGATGGCATGAAGTGAATGGTGGATAATGCCATCGGAAGTTGAACCAAGTGAAACTGCATCTCACTTGGTGGTGGAACCAGGGAACATTCGAGTCAGCATGGAAATTAAGCAAGAGAGAGCCATCCGACAATTAATGAAGGGAAGTGATGGCTCTGTTTGCGATTTTAGGCTTGTGATGATCTTACAAGCCAGCATGATTTTAATAGAAGACTCCCGGAGCGCTACCAAAATGAGCTGTGATAAAAAATTTATTAATCATTATTGTAATTTAAAATTTAAAATTTTATACATTGTAAATATTAAGTTATGTTATTAACTGTTATGTGTAAAATAATTGTTAAATGTAATTTATTATGTATAAGATAATTGTTATTAATTGTTGTATGTAAACTTTGTGAATTGTATTTAATTTGTGTAGCCAGGTATTGTCAATTACCTGGCATAATATTATTATTAAAATCAAATAAAAATAAAATTGTAAATTATTTTGAAGTGTGGCATTACATCAGAAGAATGCAATAACAGCGTATAAAATAGTGCAGAAATATTAAGAACAGTGTAGAGAGTCGGCCATGAGGTTGTCTCATTTCGATTTTCACATTTCGCAAGTAATGTTGAAGCCTGACCTAAAGTTGTCAGTCGTCTCTAACTTGATTTGGAACTTAATGATCAACTTAGACCATGAGAGACATCCAGAATCCTCTTTCTCAAGAGTGAGTTCAAATACAGGAGTAGAGAAGTGCAAAAGTTAGTAAAGTTTAAGGAATAATTCATTGACGAGACCCAAATAACTGTGAGGTAAAAGAGATTTGAAGGATTGAAAGAAAAAAAATTAATGAGTTGAGATATTGAAGTTTTGAAATATTAAAAAAAATTAAGTAGAATCTTTGTTTCTAAATACAGAAGGCTGAGTGAGTGTTTACAGTCTCTTCAATTGTAGAAGGAGTTATCGTTCCATAGTTAGAAAAGATATAGAGTATAGCTTGACCTCATTTTTCCGCTGAAATTATCAAAAGCATTGCTCTGTTCATTCCTTCTTGTACTTTTGTTATACTTCAACTTCAACTAGCATAAGGACAGAATTTTATAATTCCTTCGTGCTGCTATTACAACTATTGTAACAATAACAATATAAATAATTATGATAATTTTGCAATTTGCTGTGTGCAACTACATAGGCTTGTGTTTGTAACAATATTCTTGTCTAAATATGTTATTATGGTTCATTACTGTATTCTTGACAAGTATTACAGTAAATTAAATTATGAAAAAAATATGATTATATGACTTACATGCTGAGTGAAATTGATAATTATAACAAATAATAGAATCTAAAGAAAAATAAATCTTAAAGCATTAATTGAAAACACAAATTCTATCGTGGCAGTGACTTATTATAACTTTTTAAAGTTGGTTTTCAAAAATTCTTTATTACTACTTAATTTCTTAAACTAAACTCATATTCGAATGGGAATAAATGATCAATTATCATTTTTATCATGGTATGATGTGATAAAATTTTTATACTGTTTAATGCAGTAATGAATTGGCAATTTCGTAGTGATTGTAATTTATAAATGATAAAATGATCAACTTATCCGTTTAGCACTAATTATGCAAGATTTGTATTCAATTGATAAATTTTTTGATGCAAAAATCATTCTCTTCATCTTTTTGCTTCCGATTCATTACATTTGGAATATCCTTAGCAAATTACGAATAATGATTTAGAAATAACAACTATTAAATATGTTGAAGTTTGTTGTTTAAATTATCTTCAACGATAAATTTTTGAACAATTTTAAAAACATTCAATTTGACTGATAGATAAATTGGTCAATGACCATTTTTTGCTCAACCTTGACCTTATTTCTCGCTTTTGAATATAAAAGCAGTTTTACTTTGAAAACGCGCAATTTGTTTTTCTTACTTTAATAAATTTAATCACTTTTTAAATAAAATAGCAATTTCAGTATTGTAAGCTGCAGGCATTTTATCAATAGCAAAAGCGTTAGAGGAAATTGTTATTATTATAACATCGTTTATCAGAAACAATAATTAAGTAGCTATATATTAATCAAAACTAAAAATATAAATATATCAGCTAGCATATTTCATCAAAAGTGAACAAAATTTTTCTTCATGGAAAATTACTGACCACAGAAATAAAATTTAATAAGATATCTTGACATTATGAAAAGTAAAGATAAACTCTGCTTTATTCCAATAATATTAAATAAATAATAATAGAATATGGTTGTAGCATTTTTAAGAGCTAATATAAAGTTGCTTAATTTAATTATTTAATAAATTAAGGTTAGTTATTTTCACTAATTTTTTTGCAGTGCTTTTTTAGTACTTGCGTTTCTTCAAAATTTTCAGCTTTCATGTGCATTTTGTTTTTCTTGATCGCTTTTCTGATAATACCCTGTTACTACACAGAAAGTAATCTATGGAGTCAGAAATCAGGAACAATTTATCGAACTAATGGTATGATTCAAGTGTCACCATCGATTTTTGAAAATGAAGCAATTGAAGAACAAATATTAAAAAAAACATGTCCACCCGTTTGTATTATCATCACAGATAGCAGCGACAATAAGATAATCTGGAAACATCCAAAAATGAAATGGCAATAAATAATGCTATTATATGAAAAACTGTAATGTATAAATATATATATATATATATAAATACATATGCTTAAATGTTATTCATGAATTTTGATGTACAATTTTTCGTACAGTGTTGAAGTGATTAAATATATATATATATAAATATGTCTTCCTAATAAACTAATACTAAGCTTTATATTCAACAAGCACAAACTGTTTTAACAAAGACAAAAAAAGTAGTAAGTTAATACTTTAAACAAGCATTAAATCATGTATTCAACAATAATTAATAGACTATTTACCACTTTTTGATACTATGCATATACCTTTTCTGATTGTTCGCAACACATCACATACACGCAATCAATTCCAAGAAGCTTATGTTCTCGCGTCAAGAATTAGACTTCAACTGCCAATCCCTTCACACTGACAATTACAGTAGCCTTCCAACATGATTAATCCATAGCATCACATACTCTAACAGGCGTCATAAGAGTGCAAAGTTCTTGTACAAAACCCAAGACAAGCGTCCTATGGTCCCTGAGCTGTGATAAGAGGAGACTTCGAAACAATACCAAGACTACCACAATGTCATTAACCAGAAACTACTTCTACTTTACCTTATTACTAATTAAGTCCACGTTTGACCTTTTACACTAACTGTCCCAGTTTCTGATGTAAATTGCAAAGAAAAAGTTGATTTTTTGATTTACTTTTGAATAAAAATAATGCAAGATCACTGAACACTAAAACAAATTTTATTGGAAGCAAACCGTTAAATACCAAACAATACACCAAAATATGCTTGAATCAGAAAGCGCTCGAAATACAAAACTTGAAATAACGATGACGAGAACAAAGATAACAACACAATACTGTTAATAATGGAGCATACTACAAATCTAACTGATAAAAAATTGCAGGCAAGTCACATGAAATACTAACTCCGAAGAAAAAAACCCAACATTTAGTTGACAAATCGCTTTCATGATAGATACTTAGATACTAGATCAAGTATTAGTATCAATAATAGCGAAATGTAGGATAAGTCAAAAAGTATCTTTGTGCACTACAAAAACGAATCCCACAACATCTATATCACTTCCCAATAAAGACATTAAAATGTGAACAAAAATTATTTTCAAATTAAATTAATATACAGTTCCACTAATTGCTTCAAATTTAAGCGATAACAATAATCCTTTCTGATAATTTCGAAATAACGGAACAGAGAAGACTCCACCAAGAAAGTGAATTATCAAACAGAATTCACACACTAGATAAAAATAATTGAACAAAATGGAAACATTTTTTCAACTTAGCAATTAATAATGCCATACTGATATAAACCAAATAATAAGCTCAGGTTACACTCAACAGCTTCATCTACTACGTAATGTTGAAGATTTTCGGAAAATATGCCAAACTCGACCATGTATGCAGAAATATCTGCTATCAAGAGACATTATTCATCAAAATTATCAGTCAAATAATGGAGAGGAATTATAGATTTGCAAAATCAACTTACAAATTAAAAAACAATCAGAAGCTATAAAGCATAACTTCACACCGATAAAGATACGAATTATATAATATTACTGATCAATGGGGATAGATATTTGTTTTCTTTGAAGAGTGGAAAATCACAGCAAAATTTTTTAATTTGTTTCAATTATGAATCCGAATCATCAGTAATTACAAACAGTTCCTATTTCAAAATAGTACGGAACCCAAAGTTTGTACATCAGTGTCACATCTTATCTACACCCGTTTGGATACCTGATGCAGAGAATACAAATCAGGTTGATAACTTTCACATTTACTATTGATAGATGAAAAGTTAAATCATGAAAAGTAACAGAAATTTCATAAAAAAACAAAGACGTTTGCTCAACTTCAGATAGCAATGGGGGCCAAAATCAAAAAAAATACCGTCACCTTTCATAAAAAGAAGTGAACTAACTATTTTAATGCCACGATTGAAACAAAACTTACTAACAATATTTAGGAATCAAAACCGTTACATGTTTTCTTGCGGCACTTTGTTTTGATTTTTACACAAAAGGAACTGCAAATGGATGTCCACGAGACGCTGAAAACAGTCATTACTTTTGACACTGGAGAAACAGCTGAACAGAAAATTCTTATACACACTAATATCACCAGAGAGAGCCAAGAATATTTCGTTCAATTTTACCAGAAAAGACGGTGTTTTTTTCAACTCAAATTCACGATATGTAAAACAATCCATAGTTACGACTCATTTCAGCATTTCAATCCATAAAAACTGACGTATTCGGAAGTATTCGAAAATATTTATGTACCATCATAATGGATTTAATGGTAAACAAATAAGCCAAGTTAATAATTTATCAAAACTTCAGCATGCAAAATTGTGAGTGGAAAAGAAATAAACTAACTCAACAAATATTTTTGGGCGGCTCTTCTTTTATTTTTCTTCAATTTATCTTACTGATTATTATCTCTGTTAATAGAGAGCAAATATTTTTGAAGAATCTCAAGAAATGGAGCCCAATTCAATATTATGAACGCAAAGCTATTCACCGACTAATTCTTGTTTCAATGTGAAGAACCTATCAAAAATAAAAAATAAAAAGACTAGATCTTTGGCGTAAACAATATTTTTCAAATAATACTGCCGGCAAGATTGAAAAGATAAATAGATTGGAACATGCGAATCAGTGCTTACGTGCTGCTGGCGACATCGACTGAGATTTGAAAGAAACCTAAAATATTAAATACAACTATCTTCGAATTCATATATTTCGAATGGAATATGATGGAACAATTTAATGGTGGAGCGACTTGTTCAGATGAGCCAGTACTTGAATAAATTCGTTTCTCAGAGACTGCAACAAACCTGAAGAGTTCGATTACCCAACTGCGTTCCGTTAAGTGAAGTGATTGCTGTGACCGCATCTTCATACTGCCCCATCGTTACAAAACCATAGCCTTTACATTTGCCAGTTGAGAAGTCTTTGATGATCTAGAGTAACAGCAGGTAGGTACATAACTTCAGTGCAACCAGGAATCAAGAGAATACAGAAATGGAAGCGAAATAAAAACACAACAATGAAATATTACAGTTCTATATAATTTTTGAAAATGATTATATTTTTAGTGCTGCAAACTAATCCAACATCAAGCAGCCACACCTACCTTAACACTTAAGACTGCACCAAAAGGCCCAAAAAGTTGCCAAAGCACAGAATCTTCAGTCTCAGGTGGTAGATTGTACACAAAAATACACCATCCAGCACCAACAACACTTCCTGACGGAGTTGAGTTGGCAAGTGCAGCAAGTTGCACAGGTGATGTACTGGCATCTAAAACTAATCACCCATAATTTACATATTTTAATTAATGAAGTTATTATTTTGTTATTACGACGAATTTTTTCAATTTTCAAAAGTCATTCTTTCTAATATTTGTAAATGCAATATTTTAATTTGAAGAAAAATATCATTTAGAAATTACTAAATATTTTATTGACTTACGCTTTGAACCAAAAATAAAAATTTTAAAGACAAAATAAACACAGAATTAAAAATTAATGTCACGTCCTATTAATATACTCAAAAAATGAACATCAAGTAGGTAGACTAATGAAAAAGATTACTTGAATTCAAACTAGTGGCTGCGGCCATTTGCAACAACTGTGTAGTAATAAGCTCAGGACTAGAAGTAGTAGCTGCAGTGCCAGTTCCCGTTCCTGGTGCACCAGCCAGTGGAGTATAACGAAAACGCCCTGCTTGAGATGTATGATGTATTGGACCAGCACCAATTCGACGTGCAGACGTAGACGAAATTGAACTCAAAAAAGCAAGAGGCATTAAGGCTGATGCTGCTTGGGCGATCTGAAAATCACATGATTGTTTATTTTTATCTTCACATAAAAAAATTATGAATAAAAAAAGGAAATTCGATTACTTAAAAGATACATGATAATGATAGCTTTAGTAAATATATAACTTCGAATAAACACTAAACTATTAATAATTTTTGCAGTGATTTCTTAAAACAAAAGCACCGATAGCTATCAATGATAAGGTAACTTCAAAAACTTGCATATATTAAAGATGCTAGATAATTTTCATACTCAAGACAACACTTCTGATATTGTGAGAGCTTTATTTTGACCCAGATATTAAAGTGATACCTGAAGTTGAGCTTTTTGTGCATTTGCTGCAGGGCTATTAGCAAATTTGACAGTGATAGGCTCGGTACAACCAACTGGAATTTTTCCATTCAATTTTTCTATAGCTTTTTCTGCCTCGCTTTTACGATCAAATCGAACGAAACCAACACCTTTTGATATTCCTGAAACACTATCCGTAACAAAAAGCACATACTTCATTCCATCGAACTCTTTTAGTAACATGAAACACAACTTTATCTTACCAGTTACATTGTCAGAGAGAATGCGCGATGTGATAATTTGTCCAAATGGTTTGAAAAGTTCTTCTAAATCCACCTGACTCATCGTCTTTGCCAAGCCACTTACATATAAATTTGCCCCTTTGATTGATTCGCTGCTTGGTCTTGCAAACGATACCTAAACAAGAAGTTCACAAATAAACTAACACTTTTTTTTACCATACGTCCTCTTGAATGCATTCATTACAAATCAAAAATCAAGACAAAATATTTCGACACAAAGTAGAGCAACAATCGTACACAGTTTTTTCTCAGTTTGAATGAGAAATGAATAAAAACTTCCGCTCAAGCAAAAATATCGACACACGAATAGAATTAAAAAGTCATAAATCTAATACAATACTCTCACGAGTCCAATGTCCATAAAATGAGTTTAGTTAGGCCCAGTCCTAGTAGCCTCAATACAATTGACATAAAGAAAATTTTGAGTACAAGAAGAGTTTAGAAGAAAGGGAATTTCATGCAAGTGAAGAATATTTTGCAGCCCAACAACAAACAAATATTACTATAAAGAAGAAAATTTCGAAATGAAAAATGATATTTTTATAGTAAACGTACACAGCAACTTAAAAAACACACACAAAATAACGATTTAAAAGCGAACCTTTATGGTTTTGTTTTGCAACCTGAGGCCATTTAATGAAGTGACAGCCTTGTAGGCATCCTCCTGACGGACATAATTAACAAAACCGTAACCAAGACTCTGACCTAAAAAATGAAAACTGAAACAACAAAATGATGAAACGTATAGTGAAAACATAATTTCTGGGCGAATTAAATTCAAATGATAAGCATTAACAAAATAAAGACATATAGTGAATTTAAAATCAAAAAATTAAAACTGCAAAAACTTTAGCAGTAAACTAAGGTATCAAAAACGAAAAAAAAGCGTGCTATATCTATAGAACATCTCCAGTTATATGTTAATGAAAATAAGGCACAAATAAAAGCTTTAGAAATAAGACAGACGAAATGTTACTATCAGATTAAACAAAAGACGAATACAAAGTTACCAAATTTTCAGTAAATAAAGCAAAAATTAAGAAATATTCAAATGGAGCTAGATGGTAACCAAAGGACGTGTATGCAAGTCTTATATATGCTTCATTACATGCAAAGCTTCAGAGGATACAGTTTCGTTCTTTTACGGCAATTGAACTTTTAGCTAAAAACGGACCTTACTGCTATTCGCAAACAACTAATGATACTCAGGAGACTTATGAATTTATAAACTTTATTAGCAGGAAAAAAAAGGTCAGACATATAGATAACGCTTTGTATTTCATTATTCATAATATTTAAGACATGCAGCGCTGCATGACATAACTAAACTGAATCTAATACCCAATGATGAAACTCATTCCTTAAATTATGAAGCATATTCAAGATTCCTGTCACACTCTTTTTTTAGAACTGATAATGTCTCTTTAGTGTGGATGAATTTAAATGGCAGAGCATCGAATCTTTGAGATACTACGTCCATAAAAAGCAATCATAACGATGTAAAATGTAATAACAGTTCCTTAGTGCTTGTTGCGTCCACCTATTTTCAAACAACAAACACTCTTACCACTGGATGTTTTCTAGATACTCCCTCTTGATGATATCCATCCAAATTCAAAACATAAATAGAAATGTCCAATAAGATCTGACTCCGAAAATTTCGCTTTCAGACGAAAAAACTGACTCTCAAAAAATATAGCCACGCCAACGAACCTATTTTGCCATACAAGGAAAACTTATTGACAATTTCATGGACGTTTAAATAACAATGAATGAAGATCACAACGAACAAATCTCAAATGCAGATGTTCCGCACACAAGCCTAATCGAAATCCAAATTTTTTATACTATCAGCAAATAATTTATGGAAAAATTTAGATACCAACTATTTAGTGCTACAACAGACACCAATTATTTAGTGCTACAGTAATCTCTTATTACTTTCTTACAAAAGTCGCAGGTGAATTGCAGTCCATACATCATAAGTAACATTAAAACGGATCCCAACTAACCAGAAACTTTATCGCGGACGAGTTTGCAAGAACCAATTTCACCGAGAGTAGAAAAGAGCACGCGGACTTCTTCTTGAGTCATATTCTGTGGTAAATAATTGATAATTAGATTAGTTGCTCGGGTATCGTTATCATTTACCATTATAGGAGAATTTGATCGCAAATTCGATGAAGAGGCATAGCACTAAAAAACGAATGCAACAAAACATGAACTTTAAAAACTTCTATATAATTCTAATATGGATTAAAAAAATTAATAATATTTTCCGAAAGAGAAACTACGAAGTATGAAATGACGGTTGGTAAATACTTTGAATTCCACCTACTCACTATGGAACTAAATTCTTCCATTCTACTTTACTAACTTAATTTCTAATGTGCAAATGAAAATGATGGCAACACTGCTTCAGAACTGTATATTATATTAGGCATCTTCAAAAATACAAGAGAAATAAACCGCATATATTTATTCTGGAACTAAAATCAAGTTTGATAGTGAAAAAATCCATGATAAAGAACAATAAGCGAGATAATTTTGAATATGAAAGACTTCACTGAATCAAAAGTCCACAGAATAGATTCTCAAAATTTCAAAATATGATTGGAATAAAATATCAGTTATTTTAGTAGTTCACCAGTAATAATTAGATTTTTCATTTCATGTGTAAATGAAACAGTTAAAAAGTGATGCAAATATGATGGCTGTTTTTTGTATTTGATTGAATGATTACTAAAAACGTTTCTGAGCTAAAACATCCTTTTTTCAGAGTCGATTCTTATCAAATCGATATCAAATGCAGAAATACACATGCTCATTCCTTCTTACATGAAAAAATTATTGCTTTACGACAACAGAAAGTGAGCATGTCTCGGAATGACACTCTTATGCCAAAATTACTAACCATTAACAGCACGATCAAGTCTTATCATAGACATAAGTATTATTAGTTCAAATTATTAACGGTTTAAAAAAGCAGCAAAAACTTAAAGCTAAAAAATATCCATATCATTATTATACTTGGATAAAACACATCTTAAAAACAGAAAACTCCACATCATAATAGATATGAAGTTTATAATATTACCTGATTGTTCTTTCCATTAGAAAGTACTTGAGATTGTTGCTGTTGCATTACAACGGAACTTGTCTGGGTATCCATAGAAATTTTGAATTTTTTGATTCTGCGTTACGTAGACCACCTTTGACGGTATATTTGTCGAGACGATGGAGTTTTCTCTTTGATGCTGAAAAAATTAATACAAACAACTAAATAGATATTTTTTTTATTTAACCGTTTTATACAAATGTAAATTAGAAAGCATACAAGTACTATATTAGTAATGTTTGCAGAAGTCACAGGTACATAGACCAATAAAAGAGAAAATATCTTTTCTTAATGAATGTTTTTAAATTAGTGCTATTTTCTACACTCACCAACTTATTGATGAAAGTTTAACAACAATAGCAAGTAATGCATTAGAAAAAAACGAACTCAACAAACTATAACACCAACACATTTTTTTAATTCAAAATCTGAGAAAAAAAATTTCATATAGTTACTGTAAGATTGAGACCAATAGAAGCGCAAAGATATCAGGTAAATTGTTCATCACTTAACAATACAGATATGTATGTACCAACTGTACTTGACAAAAAACTATTACCAAGTACAAATAATAAAAATGAGATAATAAATAATTGTGATTTAAAAAACATAAAATTACTTTACTTTTAATTTTTTAATAGTTTAAATCACAATTACTGCTAATATTGCTTAATACAATATTTTTGTGGTAATGTGAGTTGGTTTCAACACATACCTAGCACATCTATTAGTTGATATCTATAAAAAACATTTTGCAAATGTGTGAGATATGAAAGAAAAGATGTATATGTTATAAACAGCACATATCATCTAATACAACAAAAAAAAATATTATCACTGGCTGTTAAATAAAGTTAAACGAAATAAAGACAACGTTAGTGAAAATGAAAATCATTTGCATGGAAAATCCTAAATGCAAAAATATAAGCAGTAATCATTTTTTCACGGCACTTTTTGATTAGCTCAACACTTACTTATAACCAGCATAGCCAGTCAGTACATAATATTTGCAGATGAAAACTTCCCGCACTGTGTTAATACCAATAATAATACTTACCGCAACTAACATCACATCATAAGTAACAACATGTGCCATCAAACACACCATCAGTCGATCCACACCCATCTATCTATCTTTATGCATCTCTCATAGAGAGCTACTATTTTCACGAAGGCCCATCAAAATTTGAGTTATCGCATAATGCAACAAATCTTGGACCACAAATACTTTCTTATGTTATACTTCAACATTTATGTGCTTATTAATAAATGAAGTGGTGGTATAAGTTAAAAAGGATAAGAAAAAAAAAGATCAAATGTTAATTATACATAATTATGAGATAAATTTTCTTGTTTTTCTTCTTTCTCCATTCTCTATCACTCATAAATTTATGAACAAGAAATGAAAGAAATCATCAATGAATTAGATCAAATTTGTAATCATAAAACTGGTCAATATTTGCAAAAAGCATTATTAATACGTTAAAAATCATTTTTAAAAAATGCAATAAAATAAATAAATGTTAAATATAATTCTTTAAATGAATACCTTACTTTTCAATCATTTTGTGAGCACTAAAAGAATCCATTCAAATGATAGATTCAAGCATTGAATCATTTGCTAAATAACGGGCATACTTCTAGTACCATACCACCACCATTTATACAAATCATTAATAGAAAGTATAAAATTACACACTTATGTCTAATTTTTCACAATAATTCAATCTCTGTGCTTTTTTTTTTCCTCTTTTTCTTTCTAAAAAAACGAGAAAAAATTTGAAAAGAAAAAAAAAGAAGTCATGAATATGAACTATGAATATGATACAAAACAGTAGTTGTAATGTAATGTAATACTTTTTGTTGACATTTTTACTGCTACTATTTATGATATTTTAAATAATAAAATTTTAAAATTGATTATAGTAATTCATTTATTTCAATAATGTAAAATTCATTTAAAAAAAAACTAAATTGTTACAGCAATGCAAAAAAAAAGAAGAAAAAAAACTAACTAAACTACAGTGTGCTTACTTTTTTTAATGTACTGAAAACTGATAAAAATGGTAGCAAAATTGTAAACGAACATTTCACTAACAGTCAAATATAAATGCAAACAATGTTTCATTTCATTTCATTTCATTTCATTTCACTGTTTGATTATTATAAAGTAAAATATTGTATAAAAATGCTTAGTTAATATATTATTGGCAAGTATTAACAAATACAACAATAGTAAGTGCTATTTTCTAAATTAGCACTTATTTATGTATTTTTAAAAAAAATACTAAATACTAATTTATAGCAAATAACAATAACAAAAATAGTACCAATGATTATTGTAGTAAATAGCACAACGAATTTGTACGAGTATACGGAAAGTTCTTATGCTCTAAAATTTAGCCTAAATTTGCAATGACCGAATTTTAGTTTGAAATTGTCATCTCAATGAGAGTAAATATTATTGCAATGAGAGTGAGTATTTGTAAAAAGAAAAAAAGTTTTTCTTAGCTTGTTTTTTTTTTCTATTTTTTTTTTGTCATCACTGAACTGTATATTATTGTCAATACAAAATTTTAGCAAAAGTAGCTTAATAAATTTAAGCAACAAATTTATTGAATATTCAATAAAATATACTTTTATTCAAATTAATACAAAAAATTAATATGCATTGAAGTGAGTGAAAGATTTTGCAAAAATTTTTTTTTCATTCCAAAAACTTTAAAAGATGAAAATTCTTTTTTTCATTTTTCACTCTTTAGCATACTTTATGATTATAGCATTTGCTGAAATATAAAAAGTTTTCATACGTTATCATTGCAAGCTAAGATACAAAGCAAAAAAGTAGTTTAAAATTAGCTCACAACAAAATACCATTTATTTTGCATTTACCTATAAAAAACAGTACATCATTATCATACCTTTCAATTATATTTTTCAAAATTAGTCATTAAACTTAAAATTAATCGTCCTAAGCTAATTACAGTTTTTCAATATCACAAATCAATGACATTTATAGCAAAAGTAAATTCATTATGATTTGGTTTTTTACTTTATGCATATTTCAAGGAAAAAGCTAAAAAAAAGAAGGATTAAGTAAAGATCAGCAATTTGTAGTATACGATTATTTCATACTAAAATAGAATAAATAATGTTATTATTTTATAATTGTTTCAAGCTAAGCAAAAAAACTATGGCATAAATATTGTTGGCTGGTAAGAGTGATAAAAATAGACATTTTTTCAACACTAAAAATATGAATAAATTAACTTAAAATTTATTAATACAATTACAATTTTAACCATAATTTGAAATTGGAATTATTGGTTAAAAAACTGAAATAATTAATTGTTTGGTAATAAGTTGGATGAGAGATGGAATAATGGACAAAAAATAGACAATTAATTAAATGATGATGGGTAATAACGTTGCATTTTTATCATTTTTTTCAACAAATAAAAGTAAAGATTAAGTTGATTGTTCAGTAAAATTTTCTACATTCATCCGTTACTTACTTGAAGGATATAAATTTTTACTGTCTCTAATATCAATAATACTTTTGAATCATAAATTGTAGCCATAATTAACTTACATTATTTACTTTATACTTGGCTGCAATTTTATTCATTGTAGAATTGTCATTTTAGGAACAATTTGTTGTGAATCAAGAACAATTCTATTACTGATGATCTCGTTTTGAAGGACAACGATGAGACCAAGCGACGAAAATTTCATTCTCTTACCCTTTCATAGAATGAAAATTTATAACAAAAAGATTATTTTCTAATTTTAATAACAAAACTTTTAATATTTACTTCTGTGAGCTAAGCAAATAGCTGTTATTAGTTAGCAATAAAAAAGTTACGCAATTTACATACTACTTTGTTTGAACTATTTTCTGATTAAACTTACATATTTGTTGCATTTGTAATGCAATATTAACTCGCATGTTTCGATTTTGTTGTGCATGATCAAAAATAAACTTGAATACTTATTCTTATTCTATTTATCTGCAAAAAAAAATTTGCATAATATTATCTATTCATATTTAATGCACATGACTGCAGTGTAAAGAATTTTACTACATGTGCTACTATTGTAGAGAAAAGCAAATTTGCATATTTCATTTTGTTTGTGTAAAAGAGATCATTTCATTTGCTATTTTGTATGCTATGAAACAAAAATGCATGTTGCTTTTTTAATTGAATTAAGCAAAAAAAAAAATTGTCTTAATTAAAATAACAT